ACACCTGGTGTCAGCATCTGGCCTCTACTGTACACACACACACACACACACACACACACACACACACACACTAAACATGAGGCAGTTCATAATCACAGGCTTCACTCTGAGCTGGTATGATCCCTGTGATCCAGAGTGGAGCCTTGGACTGAGAGTTGAGTTCAAGGACTGATAACAGATACAGGAGTTCCTGAGAGAACAAACACAAACATCAAAAGTCATCGTCATGGTTGTTCTCGTCGTCTTTCCCTTAAGGACTCCAGCTTGGCTTAAGAATTAATGACATAATAAATTCACAATTGATCATACAACTTAATATAAAATTTACATGACATGGAGGTCCTTTTAAGGAAACAAACGCCCAGAGAAGTTATAAAATCAATGTGTTTATGCATTTGGTAGAACAGAAAGAGGCTATTATTGAAAAGTCAGTACATTATGTAGGGGGCTAAAGGAAGGAAACTATTCTAGCCAGATCTGTTTTGTATTCTCCTGGCCAGGACTCCTGATGGAAGAATGTTTCTTTTCTCCTGATTAAAAAAGGGTGTCTTTCCAACCTGAGAGTTTCTCTCTTATTTTCAGGAAGAAAGGGATGGTTAGAATGCCTTCTTAAATCTGCTCTTTTTCTAGTCATCCTCATGCTAAGAACTGAGGGTGGGTGGTCATGGAGAAGGGTGAAGCAGCCTGGCTGGTTGTGTTGCTAGGATACCACACAGGTGGTAGTGGAAGTTCGCAGGCAAGAAAAGCAAGAAAATAGCTGGACAAAGGCTGAAGTGGCTACAATCCACGATAGCTGGCATTTTATGTATTTTGTCCAGATCTGAAGCATCTGGTGAAAACAAACAAAACCTACAGAATGCAAACAACCATATATAGTTCCCTTGAACTGTCTACAGGATTCTTTAAGGTCATTGCCACACTGCCCCTTGTGGAGATAATTCAGAAATAGTCCTATGCTGTGTAACTCTCCTGCCACTCACATGTTCCCTGCAATTTCTCACAACTCCTTTGGTCTTCTGCCCTCTTTTTGTCCTGCTTCCAAATCATGTGACTTAATTTTCTCTTTGTTTTTTGTTTGTTTGTTTGTTTGTTGTTGTTGTTAATTGTTTTTTGACAAGGTCTCCCTGGTCACAGCCCACCTGAAAGTCACAATGTAAAATGAACAAGGATAACCTCGAACTCCTAGAGATCTACCTGCCTCTGCCTCCCAAGGGCTGGGATTAAAGGCTCATGCCACCATGCTGGCTATGAGTTTTTATTAATTATTTTGAGACAAGAGTTTCCCTGTAGCCTCAGCTGTCCTGGAACTTGCTATGTAGACCAGGATGGCCTCAAACTCACAGAGATCCATCTGCTTCTGCCTCCAGAGGACTAGGATTAAAGGCATGCCTCACCATGCCCCCGACGACTCAGTTTTTAAATGCTTTCTCAGTTTCATCTTTCTTATCCTTGGAGACTTATTGCCATGTTTTGTTTTTGGACTTTGTCTAAAATAAAACATTGGTAATGAAAACCTCCCCTAAATGTTGCTCAGATGTTGTGTACAATGTACACTGAGAAAACTGAGGCTTTTCACCTGGGACCCACCCCAGGCCTTATTCTGAGAGTCCACATGGGAGTGTGTAGACTGTGCTGGTGACACAATGATGTGATAGAGGCAAAAGGGAGTTAGATATGAATCTAACAGCATGGTTAGAACAGCCTCAAGCTGGGTGTGGCGGCACATGCCTTTAGTCCCAGCTCTCAGGATGCAGAGCCAGGCATCTGTGAGTTCAAAGCCAGCCTGGTCTACATAGTGAGTTCCAGTCCAGCTGCGGCTACAGGGAGACCCCTGGCTCAAAAAAAAAAAAAAGAAAAGGAAAGAAAAGAACAATCTTACAAAGAAGTCTTTTTATATAAATGAGAAGTTGGGGGCTGATCAGATGGCTCAGGGGGTAAGGGTGCTTGTTGCCAAGCCTAATAACCTGAGTTCGATCCCTGGAGCCCACATGGTGGAAGGAGTGAACTAACTCCCTCAAGTTGTCCTGTGACCTCCACATGCAACATGACACATGTGTGCACACACAAGCTGGATATCGTGAGTTCAATCCCTAGGATCCACATAGTGGAAGGAGAGATCCCGCTCCCTTAGATTGTCCTCTAACCTCCACATACATGCTATGGAAAGTGCACATTCATGCATGTACACATACACCCACAAAATAAAAAAAAACGTTTCAGAAAAGAGAGAGAAGATAGGGGCTAGAGACATAGCTCAGTGATAGAATGCTTGCTTAACATTTGCCAGGCCCTGGTTTCCATCACCAGTACCATAAATTAATAATAATTTTTCAATGAGAACAAATAATCTCCTAACCGTTAAGGATCCTGAGAGCAAATTTGATATAGCATTCTCCAAATATATGTGTATATTTACGATCTTTGTTTATTTTCAGCATTCAAACAGTAAAGGCAAAACTTAATACTTGAGTTCTGATGACATTATTTCCTTAACTGGAAGCAAAATTGTCACTGTTTCACAAAGCAGGCAGACTAAGTAACTTGATGATGAAATCACGCTGACTCACTTGTCTCAAATGTCAGCTGAACATTTGTGTACAACTATTTTGAAAATTAAATGGACTTAAACTTTCTTTTTAGACAAAGTTGTATTGAGGTACAAGGCCTGATCTAAAATGTAGTCTATGAATTCTTGACTTCTAGCACTCAGGAGACTGAGGCAGAAGGACTGCATGTTCCAAGCCATCCTGGGCTGTGAGATCTTGACTTACGAAAGAAAAAAAAAATTCTGATTCACATATTGATTAGAAAACATGCATGTCATAACCATTTGACATTTGGAAATAGGGTGGTTGGAACTGGAAGCAGGAAGAGAAGTCACCGGAAACTTTCATTAACAAAGTAATGTCCAGTCATATATACCTGTCTTTAGCATCTGAGAGTATATATGAGTGTGTGCATGTGTGTGTCAGAGAACAACCTCAAGTGTCCTTCCTCAGGCATCTTTTACCTTTTTTAAAATATTGTTTTGTTTAGTTGAGACAGGGGGCCTGAAACTTGCTATGTAGTCCAGGCTAGCCTCAATTTCACAGTGCTCTGCCTGCCTCTGCCTCCTGAGTGCTGGGATTAATAGCATGCACAACTATGATGTATATAGCCTTTTGCCTTTTGTTTGAGACTGAGTAACTCATTGGCCGGGACGTCACCAAGTTCACTAGGTTAGCTAGCCAGCCAGCTGGGGGAGCCCAGTCTCAGCCTCCTGAGCAGTGGGATTCCAGGCAGACCACCACATTCACCTGGCATTTATGTGGGTTCTGGGGATCTGAACTCCAGTCCTCATGCTTGTAAGGAAAATGCTTTATTCACTGAGTCATCCCCTCAGTCCCTCAAATTACTGTTTTATAAACAAGATTTTTTTACATTTTATTTATTTATTTATTTATTTATTTATTTATTTATTTATTTATTTATTTATTTATTTGAGAGGGGGCATGTGCCAAGGTGCACGTGTGGAAGTCAGAGGAAAACTTGTAGGAGTTGGTTCTGTCCTTCAACCATGTGGGTCCTGGGGATTGAACCCAAGTCAAACATGGCAGCAGTTTCCTTTACCTGCTGAACCATTTCACTGGCTCCCAAATTATTCTTTAAATTGTAGCTTGTAATTCTTGAATGTTTGCTTTGTCACTCCACTCACTTTAGACTTGTGACTTTCTCTGCTAGAGAAACTAGAAAGCAAACTACTAGACTACCCAGACTTCCTTACAACCAAATTTATCGTGTAACACATTTCAACCAATGAGATGTAGGTAGACGTGCTTAGAGATGACTTTCTCCACGATTAAAAGCCAAACTATGTTTGGAAAAGCTGTGTTTTTATCCTTTGCGTTTCTCCCTTTCCCTCTGTATAAATGGACCCATTGGAGCAGGGGCTGCCGCTAAAGGGTAGAGTGCTTGCATGGTATGCAGGATGCCCTGGGGTCCATCCTCAGCACCACTGAAAAAACAAGGAAAAGGAAGGTGAAGACAAGAGACATATTGCTTGGAGGTGCAGGAAGTGACATTAAACTGAGAAACTGAGCCAGGTGTGGTGGCACATACCTGTAATCCCAGCACTCAGGAGGCTGAGGCAGGAGGGTCATGAGTTCCAGGCCAACCTGGGATACATAGAGAAACCCTGTTTAGAAAAATGAGCACAGGTGAGAGCTAAGGAAGAGTAGGAGTTAATTAAGTACAGGGAATGGAGTTCTTCAAAGAGGAATGGTGCCATGCCAACAAATTATATTTAATAAAGAATGATTGAAGGACAGAATATCTGATGTGTCTATCTTTGAATCATCAAAAGCCAGGTCCATGGATGAGGAGATCCTCTGTTTCCAGCGGGCAGAATTAAAGGCACAATTCGGTGAGTGGAAACAACAGAGGGACAGCTTTCAACTCTCAAATTCACTGAATTTTCTAACAAATAGAGCTTTGAAACAATGCTTTAAGTTACCATAAAAAGTAATTTCAGGGCTGGAGATATGGCTCAGTGGTTAAGAGCACTGGCTGCTCTTGCAGAGGACCTGGGTTCAATTCCCAGCACCCACATGATGACTAACAGCCATCCTTAACTCCAGTTCCAGGGGATCCGACGCCCTCTTCTGACCTCCTTGGGCATTGCATGGCATAGGTGCACTTGCATACATGTAGGCAATACATTCATACACATAAAATAAAATAATAAATAAAAAAGTAATTTCCCAGCGGGCATGGTGGCACATGTCTTTAATCCCAGTACTCGGGACGCAGAGGGAGGTGGATCTCTGTGAGTTCAAGGCCAGCCTGGTCTACATAGTGAGTTCTAGGCAAGCTGGGGCTACAGAGGCACCCTGTCTCAAAAAGACCAAAAAAAAAAGTAATTTCTCCATCACTGAATTCATGCCTGACACTAGCAAATGGGAATCTTGCATTGATGCGATGACTGTACATCAGTACATTCAAATATTTCTTTTTCTTTTTTACAGGGGAGAGCGTGAATTCAGTCCCCCATTACCACAAATTGTGTAGTCCAGTTTCCCACATTTGGGGAAATTTCAGAGGTCAGCATATCCAGAATGCAGTGGATAAACCTTGCCCTGGGAAAACCACGTTTATGATCATGGGATCTCCCCTGCCAGGTAAGTATTCAAATATTTTTTTTTCACATATGTTCTAAAAGAACTTTTGAACAACTATATACCCTCTTGCATGGATTTGGGTATTTAAATTTTCCTTTGTTTGCTGGGTATGGCGGTGCATATGTGTAATTCCAGCAGTTGGGAGGTTAAGGCAGGAAGATCAGGAGGACAACCTAAGCTACAAAGTGAGTTCAAGGCCAACCCAAGCTACATGAGACCCTGTCTAAATACATAAATGTCGCGAGCCGGGACTCTGTCCAGCAGAGTCCAGGAAAGACGACACAGACACCAAGGTGAGGTTCAAGCTTCTTTTTCTTTTTCTTCCTTTATTCTCTCTTATAGTCTCTTCATTATCTCACCCACTATGATGCTGCTTCGTTCGTAGTTCTCCTATATCTCTCACTTCATTCTCTCTCACTTCATTCTCTCTCACTACATTCTCTCTTACCTCATTCTCTCTCACTATGATGCTGTCTCGTTGTTGCTGTTCTTCTTTATTACACACCTCAGCTGTTCATATAGCGCTTCCAACAGCCCTCCCTTCAGCCAGGACCAATCAGGGCACACACACGTGCAGCGGGCAGGCAGAGTGCAGCTCATTAGCCACGTAGCAAGATCATCAGGCTGGCAGCACCTGTTTTTGGGCTCACCATACTTCAGAGTTGGGGCAAACAAGCGGGATTCACGAGCCTTGGCAATCAGCCAAGAGTTGAAGTAAACAGCACGAGGTTTGGCAGCCAGCCAGGGCTCCATCTTTGGCTGGCTCGGCTGTGCTCGCTTCCCACGCATAAATACAATAATTTTGCCAGATATGGTGATACATGCCTTAATCCCAGCACTTGGGAGGTGGGTCTCTGGGAGATGGAAGTCAGCCTGGTCTACATATGAGTTCCAGGCCAGCTGGAGCAACAGGGAGACCCTATCTCAAAAAAATACAATAATTTAAAAATTTCACTTGGTAGCTGGAGAGATTGCTCAGTGGGTAAGCATTTGCTGCTCTTGCAGAGAACCCGGGTTCAGTTCCCAGCACCCACATAGTGGCTCACAACCACCTTGTAATTCCAGTTCCAGGGGCTCATACTGTATGCACATGGTGCACATACATACAGTACTCAGGCGTATACATATATACATAAATAAATAAATTTAAAAAATTCATTTGGGGGGCTGAGACAGCTCAGCAGATAAGAGCACTGAATGCTCTTGCAGTGGACCCAGGTTTGATTCCTGGCAATATACTCATATACATAAAATAATTTAAAAAATTAAAATTAAAATTCATTTTGGTGTTGGGGGTATATTCAGTGGTAGAGCACTTGCCTAGCATGTGTGATGATCTGGATCCTCTCCCTAATACCCACAAACAATAACAATAAGCCAAATCAATCAACCAAATCAAACACATTTTTTAGAGTTCTGCAAAATGTTAGCCTTCTTCCTGCTCACCAGAGACCAAAGAGTAGTGGACCTAAAACTGACATGATTCTTTAATTAATTAATTTGTGTGTGTGTGTGTGTGTGTATACAACTTTTGAGAGTTGGTTCTCTCCTACCCAGTGAGTCCCAGGGATTGAACTCAGGTCATCAGGCTTAGCAGAAAGTGCCTTCATCCACTGAGTCATCTCGCTGGCCCTAAAACTGACCGGATCCTGGATTTCATGGAGCTTCTATTCTAGTAGGACAGACAGGAATCATGGAAGTTCATCAATAAGCTGTGGCCAGTTCAATGAAGGACATGTTAGTACATGGAAGAGCAGAAGGGGTGAGACTATAATGTTTAGGGTGAAAGCTAAAAGCTGGGCATGGTGACACAGGCCTGTAATCCCAGCCTTTGGGAAGCGGAGTGTCCTGAATGGGAGCAGTTACTTGATAGTAACTGTCCTGAATGTGTCTCAAGCCACTGGCTTGAGTGTGACATCCAAAATGTGTCACTGCTTCTCGGGAGAGCTTAGGACAGGCGCAACGGACAGAAGAGATTCTCACACACGACTGTTTGATTGCATTATGCGTTTACTAGGTCAAAGCATAACAAACACACATCAATACAAACACTCAAAGGGAAACCCGGTCCTCTAGCAGTTAAGAGTCCCAAAGTCTCTTGGAGTACCTTCCAGAGGTTAAGCCTTCAGGCACTCTGTGTGGAGAGGTTCTCTAGTCCTCCGTGATCGGTGTACTCTCCTGGCTGAGGAGCTGTCTCTTGTAGGTTCTGATCACGTCTGGTCGTGGCAGGCTCCTGTCAGTCTCTGGCTCTCAGGCTGAGGTCCTCGATCAGGTCTCAGGCGAGGATCCAGTCTGGTCTCGGGCAGAGCTTCAGGTAGCAGTCTTAGGTTTTGGGCAATGTGCCGGGATGAGGCCCATGGATTCAGAGTCTCGTGTGGCCAAGCATCAAAAGAATATTTTTAGCTGTCAGATTTTATACATTTCTTTTTTGGCTGGGGTCCTTTTGACTTACGTCAGTAACTTCAGTGGTTTCTTGAGATATGGCTCACACCCTGTGGTCACTTATCACCAACACACAGACACTCAACTCACATAGGTTCTGTTTGGTTGCTAAGTTACAACTTGGCTTCTTATCTACTTATCTACTTCACACAGTGTCACAGCAATGTTCAGTTTGGTTTCAGAGTTTACAGAGTTAATATTTATCTTTAATTTTTGATTTCTAAATTCCTAATAAGTTCCTAATACATTCAGTACACGGAGGCAGGTGAATCAAGTTCAAAGTCGTATTGGCTACGTTGTGAGTTCGAGGCCCAGGTTCTACGAGTCTCTCTCTCTCTCTCTCTCTCTCTCTCTCTCTCTCTCTCAAAAAAAAAAAAAAGCTGAGAGTTGAGGGTGTGTTACCTTGGAAAAGAAGCCTGTCACATAAAATAAGTTGACATTCTCTTCAGTTTTAATCAAAGTTCTCTTTTTTTTCAGGTCTTGAAAAAGAAAATTGGCTCAAACATATGCTAGGATAGAACTTTTCTGCCTGACGTAATGTGCAGTTTACTTGGGAAGGCAATCAGCAGTCTTGACAAAAATGCTCAAGTAATCTTTTTCTGGAAAGCTACAATTATCTCCCAGCTCGCTGACCTCTGACTTGCCATAACCAATAGTTCCCTTCTTGTAACTCTTAGATCTCCAGCAAGATAGAAATCTTTGAATTGATTTCCTTAGGCATCTCTTTCTTTGTGGAGTTCAAAATTCAGTCTGGAGCATTTGTTTTCAGCCACTAAGGGAACTGAGGCACAAGGATCTCTTGAGTTCAAGAATTCCAGGCCAGTCTCAAGAAAATCCTGGCCTTGTGCTGGAGTGTAACGTGAGAAGTTGACTGTACACACTGCAAGTATTCCTTGGCTTAGTGCCTTGGGGTTTTCAACAGCTGGGGTAGTGCACTATGCTAAGATTGTGGGTCGGTGAGACTCTACCTTTCTTTTGTCAAGGTTGGGAAGGGCATTTAGGAAAGGGAGATAGGTGGTCACAGAGAGTCAAGTGTGATATTTTCATCACAGGAGCAGTTTTTTTCAGGCGTTTTGTTTCCACAATGATCGTATAGAGGGAAGAAAGTTTGGAAGTCTACTTCTTTAAAACTCAATCCCTGAGAAAATTCTTGTATACCTCAAATGGCAAGTATTTCCCAATTTTATGGCTCTGAACTAAATAGCTGCTACATTCTGGGGATAGGGCTTTCAGAGCTCATGCTATGTGATTACTCTGGGGCCTCTGAAGTCACATGTTCACTAGGGCAGCAACCTATATCTTTTGGTTGCTCCTAACCCATGCTGAATATTTTGAACAGAGGGGCACATTTGAAGAGCCTAAATAGCAAAGTCTCTTTCTGACCTGCTCCCATCTTCTTTCTCTTGGCCCTCTTTCCCTTTCAAGGCAGGCCATAGAAACCAGAATCTTTTCTGGTTGAGTCAAGTTGAGTCAAGGGAAGTGAAAACCCCTTTCCATCAAAGTCAGCCATAAAACATGGACATGGTACTTGGACTATCCCCTGCTATTCTGTGGTAAAGCTGGCCATGAAGACATTCTCTGACCTGCCTTGTCTAACAGTTGGTCATTGGCTTCATTCTAGGGCTGGCAAGATGGCTCAGTGGGTAAGAGTGCTCGCCAGCAAGCTTGACGACTTGAATTCAATCCCCAGAACAAACATGGTGGAAAGAACTCACAAATTGTTCTCTGATCTCCACATACATGCTGAAGCATAGGCAACCCCCCCCCCGAAAAAATAAAACGAATACATGTAAAAACATACAGAAAATATTTTTATTCTAGAAGGGATCCTAGACTATACTCTTTGAGGAAAGAGTGTTACATAAAAAAGCTTAGAAAAATCTGAATAGATAGGGCTTTGGGGGGTTCCTCTCATGAAAAGTCCACTATTAGCCCACACTTTTTTATTTATTATTTTTCTTTTATGTGTATGAGTATTCTGCCTGCATGTATGCAAGTGTACCACGTGTGTACAATGACCCACAGAAACCAGAAGAGGGTGTTGATCTCCTGGAACTGGAGTTACAGACAGTTGTCAGCTGTCACGTGGGTGTTGGGAATCGAACCCGACTCTTCTGGAAGAACAGTAAGTGCTCTTAACTGCTGAGCCATTTCTCTAGCTCCTAGCCCATACTTTTTTTTTTTTGCTCAGCTACAGTTCTACATAGTTGTCTGTGTTTCACCCAGTTTAAGGACAAAAATGGTCCCTATGTGGTGGTACGTGCCTAAAAATCTCTGCACTGGGAGCCAGGGAGGTGGATGAGGCAAGAGGGTCATAAGTTCCAGGCCTGTCTAGGCTACGTAGTGAGACTCTGTCTCGAAAAAGAGAAAATGGGCAGTTTTTCTCAGGCCCTTGGATCTTCATTGCTCAAGGCTCTTGTATACATAAAAGTTCAATTAAACATATTTATTCCCAGGGCTTGGGAGGTAGAGAAAGGAGGATCAGAAGTTCAAGCCCAGCCTTGGCTACTGAAGACTCTGCCTCAAAGGAAAGAAAAGAAAAGAAAAGAAAACCAAAGCCCAAAGA